ACAAAAAAGAGAAATGCGACTGACCCCGGTTTTCGAACACAAAACCCGAGAATCCTAATCTCAGTCGAGGTCGTTGTATACTGTGATCTATGAACAATGCACGTACGAGGATTCTGTAAAGCGCTACTCTAGCGCATCCCGGTCATTGGCAGATTGTTTAGGTAGGATTGAATTGGCCGAGTGAACAACGTTTTGTCGCGAAGAGGGGTTGGTTTCCTAATTACGAGGTAGATATTTCCGATCACAGTTCGCCAGGATTTTCTTCTCAATACCAGCGTTTTTGGAGAAACTGATGCCACACAATACGCCTGCACTGTTGACAATTCGTCGGTGATGTACAAAAATGATGTCATTTTTCCAAACAGCTGAAAAATCTCAAGGTCGCAGTGCCTTTTTCCGTTGTTAAAAACAACGCGCAATAAATTTTTGGAATCGGCTTAGTTTTTGTCCTACGGAAGTCTGATTACATGTGCTCAGCCGGAAATGGTTACGTATCAGTGCATCATAAACTGTGCCCGGCCTCAGAATGAAAGTGCGTTACCAGCTAGCCGGTGTCTCTGTTCGTTCGAGAGAAACAGAATCGAATGCCATTCATTGTTTTATTGGGAACATTCTAGCCGCATTCGCAACCTCTCCTAGAAAGTGTAGTAGATTTGGAGTAGCTGGCCTAGGAACAAAAAACGAACTGTAAGTAACGGTTGACGGCGTTTTCCCAAACTAAAGTTGCGTATGGTTTAGTTTCACACTCGTGGAGGAATACAAAATGAGTCGAACGCATACATAAAAACGGTGGAAAGAATCGGCCGAAAAGTTGTGTTTCGTGCAGCGAAGGTGACGAACCGGTTGAGGACAATTTTACCACAACCCATAGTGACAAACCGTGATACAAAGTGTTATAACTCTACGCCAGCTAGTTTGTGAAGAACACAAGCCACTGAACTGGAACGGGTTGACTGTAATTGTGTCAACACCGTTTACAGGGTCCTCGGGTGAAAGACAGATCAATAACCATTAGGCCTGTCAATATTGGTCAAGTCGATAGCGAGATCGACCAGTCACGTGAGATCCGATGCGAGTGAGCTGCGGCATGATTTGAGCTCTCATCAAACAAAGCAGGGGGATTTCATGAATATCAAACCTGACCGTGTTCATTTACTTTTGTGTGAATGTTTTGCATATAGATAGAGGGTTCCAAGAGGAGAGTTTACCCAATTAGAATGGCTATAAATATATTCGAATTGTTTCTTCCGTGTGACCATCGTTTAAACTTCAATCTCATTCAATGTACTCAATGCATTCAATCAATCACACAGCTGCTAGTTCCACTCATTAGTGGTGTACCTCCACCGGGGCATCTGTGGGTTGAACTCCGAACATTTTGCAAGGAAGGCGTGTGTGTGATCCAACCACCTTTGTGCCGATCAGAATGACCGATCGAAATCACTACAATATAAGTTGTTCAGTCGACCCTATATTCAATCTACTAACTTCATTGGAAACCCACCCTTCGAAGTAGGACAAAAAATTGGATTTCGCATAGGAGTATCTTATGGAGAGCTTATAAACAATCTTGCAACAACACATGGCACACCTATTGTCAAATGCAAAACCACTGTACCAAGTTGGCGCGAGAAGACAAGTTAATGCACCAAGAAATGTTGATACGCAATTTCATAACAAATCCTAAGCTGTTGTACAAACACATGAATGCCACCAGAAAAGTTAGGTCTGGCGTTCCAGCGCTAAGAGTGGCAGAACGTGTTTCAGTCACAACAAAGGAGGTAGCTGCAATGCTAAAAAATCAGTGTGCTGAAGTGTTCACCGAACCTGAGAATACCGGACTACGAATGCTTCCGTTACATGAAGATATATCATATCCAACGCTCACCACAGTTGATTTTCCCCCAGAAATCATAGCATCGAAATTGCAGTGTTTGAAAAGGAATTCATCTCCAAGGATAGATAATATCTATCCACAAACCCTTATTAACCTGACAAGGAACATAGCTCAACCACTAAGCGAACTATTCCAACAGATGTTCGACAAGGCTGTGCTCCCACAAACATGGAAACAAGGAAAACTTNTACTCTCCTCCCCGTATTATCCAAAGTCATGGAATCCCTTGTTGTAGACAATGTGATGAGTCACTTGGAAAAATACAATGTGTTATCCCCGGCTCAAAATGGGTTTCATCGCAGGCGATCGTGTACCGGTAACCTGCTTCTAGCCCGAGAAGAGTGGACAAAAGCAGCTAATCACCGTGATGCAGTGGATGTCGTGTACCTCGACTTCTCCAAAGCATTCGACCGAGCAAAACCACAAAATATTGCTGAGGAAACTACACAACTATGGAATTCGGGGACTTGTACTTGGCTGGATAGAAGAATTTCCTCGACAACTCGCCATGGCAGTTCGCGTTTCTGGGTCATTCTCTGATCCCATCGACGTAGCACGAGGAGTTCCACAGGGATCCGGGCTTGGCCCACAACTTTTCCTTACTTTTATAAACGACTAATCAGACAGACAAACGGTAATGTTTGCAGACGATGCAAAAATATGGAAAACGGTAACAAAACCAGAGGACTCGCTAGCACTTCAGAGAACACTTAATGCTGCCGATCAATAGTCGATCGAAAACGACATGGAATTTAATGCGTCAGAATGTACGGTCGTATCCATTCGACACAAAACTCGGTTTTCGTACTTCCTGGGAGATCAACAAATTCCGTACGTCTCGAATGAGAAGGATTTCGGCATCATGTTCAATACGACCTAAGTTGTTCTTTAAACTGCTCCGGGGCGTTGTCCACCGCTGAGACGTGTTGGCTTACTAAAGCGAGTATTTGGCAAATTTGAACCTACGCTGTTGCCACGAGTGTTATCAGTCTACATTCGGCCCCACATGGATTATGCAATTCAAGCGTGGAATCCAAGGCTGCAAAGCGATCGGAAGATTCTGGAACGTCCACAAACAATGGCTACCGAAATGGCCAAGGGAATGTATTCCAAGAGTTACGCGGAAAGACTGGAATCACTGCAACTGTGCTCCATATAGCATCGCTGCATTCGAGGGGACTTGATCTTGGTGTATCAAATAACGCAGGACCCAGATCATCCATGTCGTTCACTCTTTGCCTTGTCGCCCAACACTCACCTGACGGGGCACTCATTCAAATTAGTGCTTCGAAATTGCCGACTAGAACGCCGGCATCATTCGTTCGACCTCGGAGTGTGCACTAGTTGGAATTCTCTAACACCACACGTACCATGAACCATGAATCGATTTATCTGTGCTAAACCCTATGGGACTAGAAAAGCAACCGCTTGTAAGTATTTTCCATAGTAAAACTTCGACTTCGACTTAGATAAAGTCCCCCCGCACCCAGAGATTTGGATCCATGTTGTTTTATCGATTAGAAACAGACAACACCTCACCAGTCGTTTTTCACAGGCCCCAACGGAATAATGATCGTGATGTATCGTAGGTACAGTTGACTAGGGATAACGGCAACCAAGGATGTAGAGTTTCGAGTGGCAAATCGCATACGACCGCGAGTATAAATGACGTTCGAGTGAGTTCCAACACATTTTGACCCAATCTGAAATGGACAAATTTACTGTCGATGATTTGCAAGTCACGATGTTATCCCACTTACGCAAACACGTTGCAGAGGACTGGGAAATAGAATACAGGTGATTAGTTTGTTGTACTGAAATCCCTTTTCTTGAAAACTAGTGGATATAAATTAGTGATGACTGATTAGAAGTGCTAGTAATTTGGAGTTCAGTTCATGAACCGTATCTGGAATCGTGAACAGCATATGCCTCCCGAGTAATGCAAACTAAACACAATACGACAGGGTACGATGGCTCGGAAGTCAAACTGGTCCTGGCTATTCGAAGTTGCGCAACCGGTGGCAGTCAACTCACGTGACTTGGTTGATCTTCAAGTAAGCTAAAATGCTTTGCGCGTATGAATCTGCGGAAAGTTACGATATTGATGGAAATGCTTGACTAGTTGTCTACTGCAAATGTAGATTACTCCGCAATAGGTCACTTAAGAAGGTAATGATTTCACGTTTATCAGCTCGATCAGAGAAAACCTGTACGAAACAAATGCGCAACATTGCGCACGCCTAATTTTCGATCTGACCTACAATGATATTAACCATGAATAGAACGGACAAAGAAGCACCAATGCTCAGAATCGCCGGCAATTTCGGACCAATTCACATATTATTTTAATTAGTTCGAAAATGAATTCCCATCAATAGATGGGCGTGTGTGTGTGATATGAACATGAGTATCACAAAATGCAAGTGAATAAGGCCAGGCTCAGAAGGGTGGACAGGTGTGAGGCGTGGTGAATAGATGATTAACACAGTCCTGATTGTGAACAGCTTGAGAATGTGTGTGATCGGCTAGAGACAAACGAAGCGAGGTAAGGAGAAACAACAGTAAGTCAAACAATGTGAGAGCGGAAGTATGCGATGTGTGTGTGTGTAGGGGGGTGATAGTGGCGCGTTGGGATAGACAAATGATGAATCCATGATATTGAAAATGATTAGAATGAAAAATTAGTCACTGAAGATGAGGATGGAAGTGAAGATGATAAGATGATGGTGATCGATCGATCCATATTAACAGGTTCGATGATTTATCTACCTACAGTGAGTGAGCTCTGTGGTGACGAGTTACGAGATCGTCATCATATCACCGGTCATTAGCAAGTTAAGGCTAGCAGCCAGACAATGACCAAACACAGAGCCAGCAAGACAAGAACAGAAAATATTAAGTAAGCAATAGGAATTCTCTAATGGAGAGAGAAGAGAAATAGGCAAAAAAATAAGTGAATAACTACAATGAAAACCTGCCAGTGCGGAAAGACTGAGAGATCAGGAAGACGAAGAGACATCAGCCACAACAACAAGGACAGCGATCGGAAGCGGCACAAAGCCTGAACGAAACAGAGAGAGAGAGAGCAGGCGAAAAACAACAATCAAGATTTTTCCTCCACCACGGGGACCATTCGATGTGGCATTTTGCCACGTTTCAATTCGCGCAACATACGAAAAGCATCTCGAAATAGTTGCTTGTACTGCGGTTGGTAATCGGTGGAAGTTAACGAAGGCACTCCGCATTGCAGTTTCAAGGCGTAAATATTTTCCAAACGGCGAATGAAGGCAGCATCATCTAACAGGTCTTGCAGTTCTCTCAACATTGGTCCACTCTCCGAGGTACTATTCTGTGACGAGGGACTAGCACTGGAAATCTGTGTGGATTCGGTCGTAGCAGGTTCGGGCTGGATCAAATTCTTCTTCTCCAAACCCTGTTGCTTACTGTTCGTCGTGGACTTGTCCATCTGACAGTTTACAGAAAACGCAACTTTTGTCATACAAATTCAAGTAACAAACAAGGTTGAAATCAAAT